TGAATGCAAATATTCTGACAATATTCTTTATTCTGGATTCTTGTTCACTGCTTATCCTGTACTCACGTACAGCACCTGTACATAAGTATATTATAGTGACGTAGAGAACTGAAAAAATGAGATTTGTTCCGAAAACATGACACTGGTTCCGATTCGGGATATGTTTGAAATTGTCTTGAAAAAAGTCAAGGGGTTTTAAATGAAAAAATATTTTATTATAATTTTGCTTTCAGAATTTAGTAGTGGAAATTGTTGTCCTCGCCAAGTTTAATAAAAGTATAAAATTTTGGTTATATTTTTTATTATCGACTTTTACTCTCGATGTAAGACAGGATCCTAAAAGCCAATCTATTAATTTGTGCCCGTTTCTAACATTCAGATTCAGTATAAGAAATTTGCAATAAATCTGTTTTGGAATTAATGCCCCACCCAGCCCTGTATTTATGAATTTACCTAAAAACTTTTTATAGCTAATTTCTCCGTTCCTCTCAGGCTTAACTCTGTTCAAAATATCGTTGATCTGATACAAAATTAATTATGAGTTTAATAAACCTCGGGATTAAAATAAATAAGAGATTAAACTTTTTTTAAAAACAACTGTGAACAAAAGTTAAAGTTTGTGCCCCATTTATATTGATTTTCTTTCAAAATACTTCTCCCTCTTTGCCTCTGCTGCATTGCAAGCCAAATTGTACAGAAACCACCACAAGGATATTTTCAAAAATATATAAAGGGGTTTGTTAATTGTAAGTCATGCATCAACTTTTAACAGAGATCACTAAAAAGTACAGCGGGATGATTGTCGTCTTAGCCTTTACTTTAAATTAAAAACGTGATGAATATACTGAATAGTTCTAGTATTTTTTTATCATTTGCACCAACTTAAACACATACAAAATTATACATCTATAATATTTTTTAAAATTCAGGCTTTATTTCTGATCAAAAACTTTGATACAAGGAAAGGAACTGACCACGGTAAACTAGAAGTGATGGTTTACGTCCAGTGAGTCTGAACCTTCAACACTGCAAAGCTATTGCATGTCTATGCAGAGCTTCAGTTTTAAATACTTGATTGGCAAACATCTTGATGTAAATGCGAAAGAAACCCTAACTTTTAAATGTCCCATAGTGGTAAACATTTACGTGGTCAAAGAAAACAAATATTATGTTAAATATGGATCAAAAAGAAGCCCCATGCACTTTAATATACGTATTGTATATGCGTAATACGTATATTCGAGTGCATGGGGCTTCTATTTAATCCATTTTTAACATAATATATGTTTTAATAGGTAGCTTAACAAAAATCTAAAAATTTAAAAATGTATTCCTTAGAATTACAAAATTCTACAAAACTTTGACTGTGATGGATGATATTGTTCGCTAACGAACGATTTGGAAAATCGTTGAGGACAATATTTTCTGTCAGAATCAACACTGTGCAAGGTGAAAAAAGCAAAGAACGTTCCAAGTTCTCAGAATTTTCAAAGGGCCTCGTAAAAGCCAAAAAACTGGTAAAACGAGGAATCTGCGAAAGGAACTGTTGTCGTGATTTCAACCTCCCATTTAAAGAGGAACATGTCTGATTTACAACTTTACCCTTGAATCCTTTATCTGATTTATAATGAAGAAGATATCGTCGTTCTTATTCATGCCTGAGAAACAAAGTTTTAAGTATTTAATCGAGGATTGTCACCTTTGCATAGAAGGTCATTTGAAATTTTGCATACAGTCCCTTTAAAAACACGAATTACCTCTTTTTTATCAAATGTCCCCCTAGCATCTAATACATCTACACCCAGGGCTTGAACCCCATCATGCTCCTCTCTAAATGTAAATAAATTATTCAACAAAGTTCAATTTTTTTTAAAGTTTACTTTTTAACAATGTACTGCATGGAGATTGAAATAAAGATGGTCTTTGGGGGCATTAATTAATTTGCTTGATCAAAAAATGAAAAAAATTTCTTTCGACGAGATTTTATTGAAATTGAGTTTGTTTAAATTCTAAAAATTGACAAAGATATTTAAAAAATTCAGAAAATCTTAGTTTTATCTAGTTAACTGAACTAAGGACAATTTGTTTTAACTCATTGTCGATTCAGAAAAATCAATTCCAAGATAAGTTTGTGGATACCCTGTATATCAATTCTAATAGATCTATTGAAATATCAAAGGTTTACACGATCAGGTTGCAAAGATATAGGGATACGAAGTTTTCAATCTGTGCCAAACACTCAATTCCATTTCCTTAAAAAATTGTCTAAACCTACCGGCCACGAAGATAATTCTTAGTGACAAGGAGCCAGTCCCTGTCCAGTCCTTGCAGGGTGTAGTCGTCCCTCTTCCCCCGCTCCCAGCTTCTTGTCTCCAGGGGACCGTACAAATCTCCCATTTTTAAACCGTACACGATCCCTTTTTAAAATATAAATAGTCAATGAGCAGGGGGTTTACATTAAAACTAGTTTCTGTGCTCTTCTAAAAACGTCAAAGTCTAATATAGAAAAAAGTCCTAGTGTTGTTAGTACGAACAATAAAAGCAAATATATTAAAAATGAAATATTTTACATTAGAAAAAAAAGACATAAAAGTCGTCTTTCATATCAAAACATAAATGTTAGAAACCTCAAAGACTTAAACTTTAAGACCTTTGAAAGCTGCTTAGTAAACGAGCCCCCCCCCATAAAAACTTTTAAATGCATATAAAAACCTAATATTAAGAATACCAGAGAATAACATGATAAAGTCAGTCTGTAAATGAATTAAAAGCATTTGCGGAGTCGGGGCTAAAAAAATTATGATTTGCAACAAAGCAGTTTTAAAATAGTTTTTATAAATACAAAATCTTTGGTTTTCTATTTTAATTACATTTATCCTGTTTGCTATATTATTCAGTTTTTATATTAGTAACCTAGATTTCTATAATCACAATAATATTCTAAAATATCAAAATGTAAAACATTTCGTGATGGAATAAAGCTGAATGTTTTGTCTTTTTTATAGATTTATTTTGATGGTCATTTTAAGATTATAAAGATAATTATTATAAAACCAATTAAAAATAATGTCAATCTTATAATGACAACTTTAAAAATACATTTTTTAAAATTCGAAACATTTAATTCTCTGGAACAATATACGTTAATATCTAGTAAATACCTTTACAATGAGCTAATTCAATTCGTCAGGAGTTTATTTGTTTACTTCATTACAGAATCTGAAACAAATTATCACTAATTTAAAAATACATTTTTTAAAATTCGAAACATTTAATTCTCTGGAACAATATACGTTAATATCTAGTAAATACCTTTACAATGAGCTAATCCAATTCGTCAGAAGTTTAATTGTTTACTTCATTATAGAATCTGAAACAAATTATCATTAATTTATCATTTTTGAAGGACCCCAAAATCTTGGTAAACCTACCGACAAGTACAATTGTGAATACGTTGCTTTCACTATTAATGGAGAATCTGGAGAGTCACATAAAGATATGTAAATTTCTTTTCAATTTTTAATATAATGTAAAACATTTTATACTTGTTTAATATTTGTCAAACCTCTTCGTAAAATAATGATTTCAGTGCTTGTTTTGAATTGATATGGGAAACTTTAATATATGTTGTATATTGTAATGTATACTAGCTAAAGTTGTCCGGCATTGCCCGTGAAAAAAAATCGAATTTTAAAGAAATTGAATTTTTTAGCCAATGTTACCTCAAGGGTGCTCATGGGTTTCCTTTAAAAATGTCAGCCAATTCTATCAAGCTGTTAGGCCAGCTATAGCTAACATATAAATGTATTCGTTTGGCAGCTATCTAGCTTACATATAAATGTATCCGTTTGGCAGCTATAGCTTACATATAAATGTATATATATATATATATATATGGTGTCCATACTATTTATCGTTTAATAAGCAATATTATCAAGCTGTTAGGCCAGCTATAGCTAACATATAAATGTATATATATGAGCGAAGAGCTTTATTATATAGATTGCATGATATGTAGAAACTTTATTTATAAATGACCTTGTGGATGGAGGAGGGGGGGGGGCAGGGATGATGGAATGGTGGTCTCAAACCAGTTATTCTAGATTATATATATATATATTAAGTTTGGATTAAAGGTATACTATATTGTATCAATGTCAGTTTTTACATTTAGATTTAAAACTGTTTTCCATATAAGCCATATCCTGTAATTAGTTGAGAATAAAAACTATACCTAATTAACTTTAATATGCGGACATTTTTTTTATATATTTATATTCGTAATATCATTCAAAAGTGTTCCAACCCAACTAAAAAAATATCACAATTTGCAATTAGGCCATGGTGTAAAACTTTTTTTAACTTTGATTATTTAATTTAACAAAACTTGCAGTTTCAAATATCAAAGGATACTTTATCCAGTTTTCAAGATATACAGATTAGAAAATTACAGTTAGAAGCAAGTATCTGAAGTCCTAACTTTTGTATGTAGGTTCATCTTAATCACTTTGTCGCTTAATCTCGGTATCCGATGTGCGCACATTTAAATTTTTTTTAAAAACCTTAATCCTCAATTAAAGGTATCCCCATGACCACCCCGGTATATCGAAGAGGAATTAAATTAATCTGTAGATCTGCAACAGCTGAAGAGATTAATGCTTAATCCCGAAATTCACAAAACATCAGAGCTGAAAACTTTGGGATGGGATATCCTTAATTCCGATCTTTTAATTAATCTGGAGATTTCGAAGAAAGTGGATCAAGCATTAATCCCGATCATTCAAAAGTTCCCAGCTCTGTTCGTTTATAATTTTTTCGATGGGTTTAAATGAATCTTTAAAATAATCCTGACATGTCAAACATCATCCATGATGGGATCATTAAAAAACTAAAGCATACAACAAGACGACAACATGCTTTTTTTATAATTTTAGATAAAAATACTGGATGACAGAGGCTACAGAAACAAATTTAGAATTCAAAAATAATACATTGAATAAAAATGATATAAAAATCATTTAATTTATAAAGGAAAACTTATATGTTTATTTATTGAACCCTGACATATTTGTGCATTTATACACTTTTTTAAACATGTCAAGTAAAAAAAAAACTTAGTGATTGTAGCGTTGTTTAACACTTATTGATATTTTTTTTCATGGCACATGTTTCAGGCCCCAAAAAAATTAAAATTTAATTATTAAAATAAACAAATGTTTTCGGTATTTAAAAAAAATTTGCGAAACGATTTTTTTTGTAAAAAATATTTTTTCTACAGTTTGTTGGAAAATTTTTCTTTTTATGTTTTTGCAAATTTTTTATAAATCTATCAAAAAATAAAAAATGAGAAAAGGTATTTTCAAATTTTGCTTCAATTTTAAGAAATAAAAATTAAAATAAAATTATTGTTTGCAAAATTTCCCTATAATGAATAACTTTTTGAATGGAAAAATTTCTGCAGAAAAAAATGTTAATATATTTACAAACAAATAGCTTCACGGATTTTTTCTACGTACCAATTAAAACTATTGTATTGGGAATCGGTTCACTATAGTTTCCCACCTTAAACGTAAATTGCTACAGCGTGGTGAAAAACAACGCTAATCCCAGTTTTTTAAAGTTTTTTTAGATTTCTGAGCTTCGGTCTACACTCTACACTCTACAATCTCTCCCTACGTACCCTGCATGTCTGATGACTAATAAGAAGATAAGAATTCAGGAGAAACATGAACTATTAGAACCAACTGTCGATATCAAATATAAATTATAGAGAAGCGTGAACATTGAACACATAATTATTGTTCACACGGTTTGTTGCCCCCCCCCCCACCCCCCCCCCTCTCTCTTATCGTTGGTCCAACTCCAGCATCCATGCTTTAACTGTGAAACCTAGAAAAGACCACTTTCGCCCGAAAGTTAAATTGCATGATAAAAAATGTTGTGTCAAAATAAAACGAACCAATTATTAAAAGTAATTAAAAGAAATTAAATGGTGGGGTGGGGTGGGGGAATCAATTTAGGGGAGGGGGAATCAATTTAGGGCAAAAACAATGTTTCATTTGTATTAGTTACCGGCCTATATACTCTGTACACACGGGCAGCCGTAGTTCATTTAAATTTCCGAGCCGAGTCAACCTTTCCGCTCCCAGTTTGTACTGTATCGCCCGTACATTGGGTAAATTAAGCAGACACTCAATAGGACTAGCTAGGTTGAATTTACTTTTACTAAAGGGTCAGGGGTGTGTGTACAGTGCAGTACACTATCTGATATTCTATACCCTTTACACTCTATACACTGTCTGGTATTCTACACTCTGTCCACTGTCTGAAATTCTACACTCTGTACACTGTCTGGTATTCTACACTCTGTACACTGTCTGGTATTCTACACTCTGCACACTGTCTGGTATTCTACACTCTATACACTGTGGTATTCTACATTCTGTTCACTGTCTGGTATTCTACACTCTGTCCACTGTCTGGTATTCTACACTATATTTACTGTCTGGTATTCTACACTGTACCACTCTGTACACTGTCTGGTATTCTACATTCTGTCCACTGGCTGGTATTCTACACTCTGTCCACTGTCTGGTATTCTAAACTCTGTACACTGTCTGGTATTCTACACTCTGCACACTGTCTGGTATTCTACATTCTGTACACTGTCTGGTATTCTACATTCTGTGGAATGTCTGGTATTCTACACTGTAACATTCTGTACACTGTCTGGTATTCTACACTCTGTACCCTGTCTGGTATTCTACTCTCTGTCCACTGTCTGGTATTCTACGTCTGGTATTCTACACTCTGTATACTGTGTGGGATTTTACACTATGTATACTGTCTGGTATTCTACACTCTGTCCACTGTCTGGTATTCTACACTGTAACACTCTGTAAACTGTCTGGTATTCTATACTCTGTACACTGTCCGGTATTTTCAACTTATTCGGTATTCTTAGAATTAAAGAATTGGTTCTATTTATGTGATTATGTTTGTTTGTTTAATGTTAACCATGTATTTTAAACTTTACCAGAATGTGTTATGAACTAATGACAAAGCAAAAAAGAAATTACTTCACATTTTTGCTTTTAAGTTCAATACATACTTGATTTTTGGTAATTTCCTAGTATACGATTTTTGGACAATTTTTCTCACAATAAACAAAACAATTTCACCACGCAAAAATGTTAAACCTTTTTAAGCTGATTTAAATTTTAATGACTTGTTTAGTTTGTATGCTACAAACAACACAGCAAGCTGAAGAATGAATGTACTGTGTAGACTGTGGTGCCACAGAGTGTATAGAGCGCCCTGCCTGTGTGTATACTGTGTGTACACACAACAATCAGATCAGCTGATCATTATAAACCCGCGAATTCTACAGGGTGACAGAAAAAAACATTAAAACAAGTCAGGCGCGTATACAGGGAGGGGGCAGTGCAGTAGTCCACTTGCACCCACCTGGGCATCCATGAGTCTACCCCCTCTTCCTGGGATGTATCGGTAAATGTTAAAATCATGTGTGCTGGGTAAAAATGAGCTTGCAGGCCCATAAAGGGGTGTTTTCCCCTTTAAAAAGTAGCTGAACAATTTTCTTGGTGCTAGTCGCCCCATTTTTTCTCTCATCAAGTATTTCAATTTTATCCAATATCTCCCTGCCCCACCAATTAAATAAAAAATTATAGCTATATGATGTATGCAAGTGTTTGGCAATGTCTTCCCGCAACCCCCCTGATGGTCATGGGGGAGATTTCATTTGCAAAGAAGGGTTGGGAACTACGTTTGGCCAAAATTAGGGGAGTAGTTTCAGGAGACTTCTCAGGACTTCGATAGTAATACAGAACTATTCAAAGTGATCTTCAAATAATCGAGGGTCCCTTGAAATTATTTAATATTTTTAAAATTTTTAAGTTTCTTGTGGTTGCTAATAAATACATTTTTTGGTTAAAATTGTAAGATTCATTTAATCAAAATTAGATATTTTGCTACAGTGAGAACCAGAAAATTATGGTATAAGAAGACAACATTACAGTGTATAAGATGTCGTTACAAAGCAAAAAATGTTAATTAGTAACTTATTAAATCGCTTATTCAGTTAAAGCCGCCCCAGAGTCTAAAAGTCACGTCTTCCTATGCCAGAGTTTTCTGGTTATCATGCTGTTTATGAATAATATAAAAAAAATCAAGTTTAAATTTGATTTTCTTAGCATTTGAGACTGAAATGTTCGTGAAGTTCAGTTTATTGTATGCCACCAACGTTTAAATAGATTTTTTGAAACTCAGTGTTATTGAACTGAATTGCTCAATAATTAATTGCATTTATTGCGTTCCATATTAGGTTTAAATTGAATATTCTCAAAAAGTTAAAATACAAAGTTGGATGGAATTGCGCGCAAGTACTCGCAATTGCGCACAAGTTAAACCCTACTATTTACCCACCCTGTTTCAGTATATTAGTCAGCTAAGATAAGAACAAATATTCATTTATTTATATACAGGGTTACCCACACAACATACAATATAATGACGACCTGAAACTTTTCAAATATTTTGTATAAAAAATTGTTTGACTAGAAAGTTTTGTTGTCTTCTTTGTAAGATTTGGTAATATTTATTTGGAGTAGCTATTGCATACTCATATTTTTCGCCAAATTTTTGTGATAACTCTTTTATTTATTAATATTTTTTTTTATGAAACTTTGGAATGATATAAATCCATTTCAGAAGAAAAGGTTTTTTTTCACAAAAAAAGGTATTTCGCAAATTTTTGTTATGTACCCAAAACTATTTTTGAGTTTGGTATCACCTAAATAACGAACCCTGCCAAAAATGTTTTTTTTTTTGACAATGAATAAATATATATATTTACCTATATCTATTGTATTATGATATGTTTTATACTTGAAATAATAAACCAGATATGCTTTGATATGTTATGACACAATATCAAATTCTGCAGATTAACTATTCAATTAATCAATATTCAAAATACATTCTTAAGGGCATTTAAAGGATAAAGAGGAGATTTTTAAGATCATATAATCATATTGTTTAAAATCAAATTCTGTTGAAAATTGTATATTTTGTAAAAAAATCATTGAATTCATGCAATTTGTACAATTCTTACATATTGTACAATGGAGTAGGTGTTTACATGGAGTAGATGTTTACTACATTTTTACAATCGTACAGTGTGTATAATTGGCACATAATGAACAAACATTGTGCATTTACATCACGAGCATGTTGTTATGCAATTCCTACTTATTGTACAATTTATGGATTTTTTACCATTTTATATTTTATATAATTCGTAAAAATTGTAAAACATAGCCTGGAGTTGTACAATTTGTACATATATTTCTTTATTCAATTATATGTAACTGATATGTAAGTATGCACTGACAAAGGAACTCGCATCATATATTTTAATTTCCAATTTTAACAACCTGTTGTCGTCGGCTGCATTGATATTTTTGTGCTTTAAATTCTACCACCTAAAATAGTGAAAGGTTGATATCTCTGTTAACACGATCAGGTTGCAAAAATATAGGAAAATTGTGTAATCTGTTTCTTTGAATGTCTGGTGTAAACTAACTCCTTGTGAAATACATGAAAGAAAATGAACAAAGAACCCAACAAAACCTCAAATATGGAGGATCTACGAGTACGTTCATCCGTTCATTGTTCACAAAACACACACTCGAAATGTAGAGCCATTCATCTGCACCTTATAGTGCTTCTATCTATATACTTTGCTTTATTGTTTGTTTGTTTGTATACAATAAACGTCAAAACGGCTAAACCAATCGGCCCAAGTTTTGTGTGGCAACATACATAGCCCCAATTTTAAAATGAACTAATTTGAAACAGAAAAATCCACAGCAACAGTACAGGGAAAGTAAACCATGAACAATGAACATATCAAATTGGGAAAGTTTTTTGGTTTATCTTAATCATTTTAAGGGTTTTTTTTAACTTTAAAGAGGCGCTTTATTATTTTAAGATTGTATGTTAATCGTATTTCTAAGTTTGATTTATTGTATATTTTTTGTAATCATGCTTTGACAAAGAAATTGACTATTCTAAACAATTTATCAAAACCGGTTTTCGAATAGTTAACATTTTTCGTTTTAAACTATGCATGGTATAACCTTCTTTTATCTTAATTGAAGTCAAATATCATAAATGTTCAGACTTTTTTTTGTTTTATGAAAAATTGAAAGATCAAATGCATATTATACTGATCGACTCAGGACTGTTTTTTTTCTTCTTCCGTAATGTTTAAGTGACCCTCCATGCAAACCTGGCTGTGCTCGATTTACAACGGTACTCTTGAAAACTTAATAAGATTAAAAATGTGGAAGTAATAATGTTTTAAAGAATCGAAATGTGTTTATTTCTGTGATTGTCTTCATTGCCTCTTATTAGCAAGAAATGCGGCAAGTAACTTATGCACAGAAACCGTAAATGAAAACAAACAGTTTAAAGAAACAAAAACATGAATATCTAATATCTATACCGTTGTAAATCGGGCATTGAAATTACGCTTACAGGCCCTTTAAGTATAAACCCAGCGAGGTTTGCAAATGCCTGCTGAAATAAAGACAGACATATTATGTTTATTTAGAAACACTATATTTATTTTAAAACATATATAATAGCTTGCTAGTGTTGTAGATATAGTTGAATAAATACAGAATAAAAAATACAAATATTGATAATCTCAAAAAGCAACAGATCCAAGGTTGATTCAGGGACAATCACTTTCGATATTTAAATGTGTTTCAATAAAATCAAAAAAATAAGAAAGAATATTGTTTTTTCGAATTGAAAAAAGTAATGAAAAAATAACTGTAGAATTCGTGATGTTAGAAACTTTTCCAAAGGCAATTTCCCAAGTGGCAACTTCCCAAATGTCCAATTTCACAAGTAGGAACTTCCCAAGTCTGTCCTAGCCGCAGCGCTTGCCCCCTAGCCTTTTCTAGCCGCAGCGTTCGCCCCCCCCCATTGCAGCCTAACCTATCCTTTGAGAAGTGGCCGCGTGGGAAATTGCACATTTTAGAAGTTGCCACTTGGGAAGTCGCCCTTGCGAAAATGCCATTAGGACCGAATTCAATACGCAACTTCTAAAATATACTTTTTACACTTGTGTCAAACAGGGGCGTATATCGGTTTTAATCTAAGGGGGGGGGGTCTTCAAAAGGGAGAATTACATTTCTAGGGGAGGCCCTGTCCCCCCCCCTTGTAAACGCCCCTATTGATAAATTGTAAATGTTAAGGATTGATATCATATTTGACCACAGTTGTCATTTTAAATTTGATATATGAGAAAACAACCTTGAAAGGTTATTAAGTCAATATATTTACTTGAAAAATCATTTTCAAAAATATTTATTTCTTTCCTGATATATTAGTTTAAAACAAATGCAAGACTGTTATTTAAAACTTTGATTATTTTTATCGATCACACTTTTTTTACTAAGACCAGCCATTAAAACAGTCACTTATGGCTTTGGGGGTTCTGATTTAAATAATTGTAATTATCTACATACTATTCATAAATAATAAATAATGAAATAATATTTAAATCAGATATTATACCCCTGTATTGATAAATATATTCAGACTTGTGAAAAAAAAAACTGTTTACGTAACAGACAGTGACCTTGAAAGGAGAGCTGTTTAAAAATGTTAATGAAAATGAAAATTTATATATTGTGTATTGTTTCACATAAAGGTATTTTAAGGCTTCCCAAAGCAGGCATCATACATCAATCGTAAATTTTTCTTTTTATCTTGTATTCTAATTTTTATTTCAAAAATTAAAACAAGAAGATAATACTTAACATAAACATTACATCCAAATTCAACTGGATTCCTCCGATAATAATTAGGAATTGATTTAAAGGTTGCGGCTCACTCTGTAATGAAAGCTGTTTTTTATTCGGTCAGAGTACTTCAGATCACTGAAGTACGCACCAGACGATTAGTTTAGGGTAGAGATGGGGGCCTTCGTTTTTTTATTATTCGATTGTTAATTGTTCGTTAATCATCCTTTTTGTTCGTTTTTTTTTCTTCAGTCGTTCAGAATAAATTTGAATTTTTTTGGTTTTTAGAATTATCGTTTATTCTATGATGAATAATAATACGTTAAAATTGTTCTAGTTACATTTGCGTTAATGTTTATTTAGCACAAGTGTACTTTTTGATGTTATTCCTTATATAAATAAAGAACATCGGAGTCATATTTTTTCAGTACCAAAGAAACATGCGTTTCTGTCTAAGTAAGTAAAAATATGAATTTTTTGACGAAAAAATCCAAAAAATCTTCATAATAAAGTTAAAATTAAAATATTTATGAGAGGTTTTGTAGCAATACTTACTTGAAGGTATATGTATTGAATCTTGATATAAAAAGTATAAACAGCAAAAAATATGTTTTTAAATTTACTAACTTTTTTGTCACAAATTCGGTATTTATAATCCTTACATCTTTGCAATGTCATACTCGTAGACCCTAGATTTTTCAAACTATACGATCAAATAATATTCTACGTTTGAAATATCAAAGGTTAACATCACAATAGGATGCAGAGATAGGGATTAGAACATTTGAGTTTGGGGCAAAGTTTAAATTCTTTAAAAAAAAATCTCAACAGAAAAGTGCGGATAGGACACTGTAGATACATTGAATTATCCTTGTTTAATATCCTTCTCACATTTTAAATAAAATAATTATAAATATAATTTTTTAAATGTTAACTTTTAGTCATTGTGGCATTTTTGAGTCTACAGTTGCTTAACTGTAGTGCAGAGGTGAGTTTCGTTTTTTTACATTTAAAAAAGTGAATTTTCTATTGAAATTTTGGACTTACAAATCCACACTTTATTCTAATAAAATAGGATAAACATTGGTTTTAATCCAAAAGTTCAGGCAATCAATTTTATTTAAAGGGACTGTAAGCATAATTTCAAGCTGACCCTATACATGTAAAGATTGCAATGCCCGATTTACAACTCATGAAATTAATGGACAGGGAAAATATAACATACTAGAAAGAAGGGCGCGCCCATTTTCTATTTAAATTGTGAACATGTTCTTTCTGTTTACATTTTAAAACAAAGAAGAAAAAAATTTTGCGGATTTAAAAAAAACCATTTAACCAAAAATTAAACCATTGTTTAACCAAAAATAAAACCATTTATTTAACCAAAAATAAAACCATTTATTTAACCAAAAATAAAACCATTTATTTAACCAAAAATAAACCCATTTATTTAACCAAAAATATAACCATTTTCGACCAAATATATGACCATTTATCTTAACAAAAATATTACCATTTTTGACCAAAATATAAGAGACACAAATATATTAGACTAAAAATATAACCAATTTCGACCAGAATTATATTTTTATTTTTACCAAAAAATATATAACTATATATAAACAACTATTTATTAAATTTAAATAATTGAAAAATATTTACTTTTAGTTAACAAATGCCTGTATTTTTAGTTGAGAAATGGTTATATTTTTGGGTGAAAATAGTTATTTAGTTGATAAAATGGTTGATTTTGGTTAAAAAAGAGTTATATTTTAGGGTTTTAAAATGTTTATATTTTTGGCTAAAAAATGTTTGTATTTGTAGATTAAAAATTATTTTATTTTCGGTTATAAGAAGGTTATAATTTTGGTTTAAATGTTTTTATATATTTGGTAATAATAGGTTTTTTTTGGTGAGATGAATAATTAAAATTTGTTATTTTTTTTTTGGTTTGTTTCATTTTTGATCAAAACCTTGTTTGTTTTTGTGGTTATATTATTAGCGCTATATTTTCCCCGCCAATTTTTGAAATTGAAATAAATAATCCTGAAATTTGAAAGTTTTCAGAGTTTCACACATAAGTTTCAACCTCCGGATATTTCAGAATGTTGAGCTGCAGGACTACCTGGAGTCTAGGTTGACCAGCCTGCAGTATAAACTGGGAGAACTTGTCAGGGAGATCAATGATCTTCCTCATCTTATCAAACAATTCAGGCAGTTGCCTAAAGGAGTTACGAGCGCTTGCCGCGTTGAATTACAAGAAAGATAGCGATTATAGTGTATGTGTTAGGGTTAGGTTTGGTTAAGAGACTTTCTGTGCCGAGCGCTACGGCTAGGACAAGTTAGGGGGTTGAGCGCCGCGGCTAGGAAAGGTTAGGGGACCGAGTGCCGCGGCTAGAACAGGCTAGTGGGGCCGAGTGCTGCGGCTAGAACAGGTTCTCACTCTTTCTATAATTCAACGCGGCATGCGCGTAACTCCTTTGGGCCTCTGCCAACAATTCAGGTGGGTACAATCAGGGGCGTCCAGTGGAATCTTTAGAGGGGGGGGGGCACCCCCGTTGGGAGCTAATTCTGACTTGGAGATTCTAGTGTGTATATATGTCGATCTACAAATAAATTAGAATAAAATAAAAGTAAGGGGTCAAAAGTGACCAAACTATCATCTGAAAAGAGTACGAGTGCTCATGCTCATCGCACAAAACCAATATAATCCCTATTTACAATTTAGTTGAGAAATTATTTGATAAAAGGTTCACATATTTTAATTTTGCTGTGGTTAATGGTCATAACATTGAAAAAATGTATTTTTTGCTCGTGAATTGCTTAAAATCCTAAACATTTCCTTAAATCCAGGGAGAACCAGACAACTACAGCTGCCGGTCGAACCCTAGCTCCGCAATCAAGATTCTTCTTCTTCAGACCATGGGGGCTTGTCCTTGGATCAACAACAACATCAACTGTTGTATCCAATACAAACAACAACAACAACAATAATAACAACAACAATGCTGGCACTTCAACCTCCACTTCCACTGGTACATCTACCAGCACTGCCACTGGCACTTCAACGACAAACAACAACAACAATAACAATAACAACAACAACAACAACAACAACAACAATAACAACAACAACAACAATGGTAGATCCCTGTTGATCTCTGCAATACGAAAAGAAAAAGCCAAGAAAGATAAAGTTTGGAAGAATTCTGTAAAAGCAATTACAAGAATTGAACGAGATCTATTTAAGGTAAACATTTTAAAGTGAGATCCAGAAATCTGTGGAATCTGAAGACGACTTTTAGACTCAAGTTATGATTTTAAATAGTTCCATGAACGTGATGTGTGGACAGATCATTAAGGAAATGTTAAGCTACATAGAAAATCTATTTGCTTTGCAACAACACCAAACATTACTTTATTGTCGTCTTCCTATTCCATCGATTTCTGGGTCTCACTGTATAAATCTGGACATATTATTTTTGTAAATCTTTAATCGCAATGTTTCGTGTCTAAATGATAACTTCAGGCTATTTACTACTCGGATCAAATCTATATAATGTCAGAGCTAAAACCTCTTGTAGTTGTACTGTGGACATCGAGATCAATGCTTTAATTTCATCTGTAATTGATATTCAAGATAGTGTCTAAAATTCAACCAATCAAAATGTCGTTTGCAGAAATCGAACAGAAGTCAGAAAATTTAGCACGCAATTAATCTCATAAGTCGAAACCCAGCACAGCTGGGATATCCAAAAAATGGGATTAAGAATAAAATCAAGTATCCACACACATGGATATCAAAATTAAGCGAGAATACATGAGTTTCCATCTCTGATCATCTTTAAGTAAAATTAAATTGGGAAAAAATAGTTTCGAAGGTTCATTGAAAATATGAAAATGCGCCCCTATATATTGAGGCCGGAAGAAATTAGGAAATTTTGGGCGTATGCGAGTATTTCTCCTAAGGTGACAAATTTAGAAAATGTAATAAATCACTAAGACCAACTTTCAAGGGGTGCCTAGTCCCCCCCCCCCCTAGAGAAAAATTTATTATTGCAAAACTCTTCTCTTTCTAAAATAGTATTTAATTTCAGGTCAACAACTTGATGAAAATGTTTCCTAAATCTATCTCAACACTGTAATTTGGAATAAATAAAATTTTCAGCATTTTAAACAAAATTATTCGTTTAGAGAAGAATCATAATTAAATTTTCTTATTTCTTCTAAATGCAAATTTGTTAGTATCAACTTCATTACAGAATTTGTCCCAACGTAAATGACAGTTATCACGGCGTGATATAATCTTTATTTTTCTGGTTATTTATGTTTTCAAATTCCTACCAATGAATACTGGAAAGTATAAGAAATTTATAAATTTTGTTTAGCTTCATCCTGTGCAAAAAAAATAATTTATTAAGAAATAAAGAGGGGGCCGAAAATCTTTAAAAAGGTTTAAAGAAGGTTTAGATAACATTTCGTAATTATAAAAATTGCAAGACACTTTTTCTAACCTAAAACCTTCCTAGAAATAAAAATATTTTTGTGATATATTGACATTTATTCCCTTTAATTAAGAGCGAAACTATTTCATAGAAAATTTAAATTCTTTTTTTGCACCAGCAAAAAATTATATTGTTTAGCAAGCTAGAAGCAATATTTATCAAAGAAAAAAATTGAAAGAAATCCAAACTCAATTATTAATTTACAATTTATAAAAAGAGAGACTATAAAAGAAGGTAATTTTTTACAAAACTTGTTTTTTCCCAAAAAAACGTGTTTTTGCTTATACTTTGCTTAATCCTAAAGGGATTTTTACGAATTAAATGTTTCTGAGCGGATATTTTGATACCCATCTTTATTTATTGCGACAACATTTTTATTCTTGCGCACACAAAAAAAAGAAAAAATCTGAATGAGTTTGAAAATGGAAAAAATAAAATCTTTCAAATAATTTTTTTTAAAGAAAAGAAATCCATGGTTTCATTCTTACTTAAATAAAAACAATTTTAAAACATTAATATTTATTCAATAAACTTATGTAAATTTAATAGGAGTGAAATAATCTTATGCAATAACAGTTACTGAACACATTCACAACTTCTAATCTCATCTAAACTTAAACTTAAACTCAAAAACTCATATTGCAAGTAAGGTTGTTAATCGTTTTTGTAAACGATCGTTAAACGATCGTTTTTTAAAAACGACCCACTCGTTTTGAACTTTTAGGAAACGAATAACGATCGTTTTTTTAAACGTTCGTTTTTATTAAAACGATTTGCGACCGTTTTTTATACGATTGTTTTAAAAAAGATCGTTTTTGAAAAAGAAATTTATTTTCAATTATGTTTACGATCGTTAACGAAGGGTCATCGTTAGCGATCGTTAACGAAAGGCCGTTGTTAGCGACCGTTAACAAAGGGTTGTCATTAACGATCGTTAACGAAACGATGAACTTGATCAAAACGGTCTTTTTTGGAAAAAAAATTCCATGCAACTTTATTGAATGTCGTCTTACATGAAGTTTAAAAGTTGTGGGGGAGTTAAAACTCTTCGATTTTTTCTTGAAAGCTACTCAATGAAAAGTACAGATGCCCTTCAGGTTGATCCTCTCTTTGGTTAACGATCGTTAACGAAACGACGAATTTTATAAAAACTCGCGTTTTAAAAACGACCATTTTTAAAAAACGATTGTTTTGTTTTCGATTTTTCGTCGTCGTTTTCATAACGAAACGATAGTTTTTCTGAAAAATGACAACGTTAACATCCCTAATTGCAAGAAACACTGAGATCATGTGCATACCTTTAACCGTGTACATATTTTTAAGCTTGTACAATGTACATATATTATTGAATAAGCTTGCGAATAAATTTCTATGCCCAATATTATCTAGATTGAAAATTAAAAAAATTATTCCAAAAGTTTAATTATAAATAAATTGAAAAAAAAGATTAACAATCAACACTTTAATAATTTTTTTTGTAAAAATTTAATTTTAAAAATATAAAATCTTTAACAATATTTTGGTTTAAACGACGACAGAAGATTTGAATAAGAAAGTACATTGAACACTGAATTAAAGGGGATCTATCAAAGTCTCATTTATTATAGGTCACCCTAAAAAATGAGACCTTAGTGATCACTCAAAACTCAATGAAGAGACTTTACGGGTCGATTACAACTTTTGCTTTTAAAGTAATATTGTAAAAACATATTAAATGACATAAAAAGAATCAACTTTACTGTTGCAGGGAACCATGAGTTTGAGAAAAAGACGGAATTAATTCTGTACAGTCGTCTCATCGTCATAACCCTGTACTGACAGATCAAAGAGAACCCTTTCATACTTTATTTTAATATCAATCGTATGCATCAAAATTTTAACAGCATGTACACAGTACAGTTTACACCATATGAGTACACCAAACATACTTTGCATTGTACAAAACTCATACAAAAATGCCAGAACACAGAGTAGTACACGTTAATTGAAAAAGTACACAATATTACACATGTAATCCCCCAAGAACTGCGGCGATTTTACTGGCTTGAAATTTAATATCTGTACTGCCCTGCCAGGAGTCTCTCAGCTGTACAGCCTAGAAATACATAAGATTTTAAACTTCCAACTTTAAACCTTTATCTGATTAACTATGTGCAAGATATTGTCGTTTTTCTAGATTTAAAAGTGTTTAATACTGATAATTCCTATATGGTTCCTGGATCCAGATTCAAGCACTTTGACCCTTTCGATCCGGATCCTAGCACTTTAGTTTCTTCAATTCAGCGAATAAAACCTCAAATGTGTTTGCACACTGCGCAGACTTACGCAATGTTCGGCAACAGTTGTTCAAAGTGGGAGGTGAAAAATTACTTTTTAAGAATACATATTTTACAATGAATACAAATATAATACCCACAAAAGATGAATCTAAAGACGACCCAAAACTCTTTTAATTTGACGATTTCGAGGTTGAATTAAGTCTTTTGTCTTGAACGTAATCTTTTAATGGCTTAATCAATGATTAGGCAACGAAAAAAACCAAGTTTACAGTTGCAGGAATCTAAAATGTAAGGAAACAGGCGGTAAAAATTCTGTGTAGTCGTCTCTGCCAAGTCTCATCCTTTGTGGGTAACCCTGTAGATCTTAAGCTCTGGTATCCAGTATACCTGATTAAGAATTAGACTGCTCTGATTGATGAATATCTGTTCCTGCAGTGTTCCAGGTTCCATTAGAAAACCTAGAAATATTATAATAAAACCATCTATTCCTGAAGTGTTTCAGGTTCACTAAAAAAGACCCCCCTCCCCCCATTTCAACGAAGTTGGCAGATTACATGAAATCTAGCTTTATTTATTAGAGACTTCCAAATTTAATTTCATAGATAAGGTTTATTTGCTTTTCATATATCCATAAAATGCCCTAACGCCATTCTTAACGTTTTGTATCGGAAAAGGTGTCCGTGCAGCCCCAACATAAATGTACAATAATGGTGAGCTCTCCTACCTTCTGTAGCAGGGTGAGAAAGATTAAGCCGGGAGCTGGTTACACAAATATTTGCCAACAGAGTCGAAGATCTAAATAAGACGACATATACGTTATGAATTAGCAAGAAGAAATCCCTTACAAAGTAATTTAGCACTAACAAAAAAAATATAGAAGACAAAAAAATTAATTTTACTGAATAATAGATGTGAAAAATATGTTGAAATATTAATCTACCTCCGGCTTTTATACTTATTTTCATCTAGGCAACCGTTTTTTTTAAAATGAACAGATAGGATTACATCTTGAGGATTTTCTTGCTCATCTTCTAGGTTATTCCAAAAGAAAACGAACATTTTTTTTTAACTATGAAAGATGATTAAAGAAACCAAAGATCGTCGTTTCTGGAGGTTGTCCCGAGTTGTTTTGGATGAATCATTACGGAAATTCATGAGATTTAAGGAACCGATGAAAATCATTAATAAGACTGTAAGCGTAATTGCAACTGACCTTACACGCAAAGATGACAATGTCCGATTTACAACGGTACCCTTTAAAACTTTTTCGTGTTAATCACTCAAATAGTGTACGCTAAAATCCGAATATAAATATTGATTTTTTACGAGTTCTAGAAAGTAATATTCAATATTTCTTGAATAAAATGAAAATCAAGTGATCATTAACGACTTAGGAGCGTTTCTGTAGATTAATTAGGATAATTTCAACATCCTTGAAGGTTTAAAGAGTTCTGTTTCTGTAGATTAATTAGGATAATTTCAACATCCTTGAAGGTTTAAAGAGTTCTGNGAGTTCTGTTTCGAATCGAAAATGTCATTCTACAAAAGGAGAGCTACTTGAAATTAAATTATATAATTATATTGACATTATTTGCACAAACCTAAGAAGTTCCTCTTCTGGTGTGGTTGGATTGAGGAGGAAGGAGAGGGAGGGTGAAGGAGTAGATAGTAGTGGAGGGATCATCTCCTGGTTACAAACCAGGTTGATCAGTAACCTCATACTTTGCAATCTTAAATGAAATTAAGTCAAACCAAATAAGCAACATTAAATTGTAAAAATAAAATCAAGCGAAATCAAGTGTAATCAAGTGAAATCGAGTGGAATCAAGTGCAATCAAGTGCAATCAAGTACAATCAAGTGCAATCAAGTGAAATCAAGTGAAATCAAGTTAAATCAAGTTAAATCAAGTTAAATAAAGTTTAAACAAGTTAAATTAAGTAAAATCAAGTGAAATCAAGTGTAAATAAGTGTAATCAAGTGCAATCAAGTGAAATCAAGTGGAATCAAGTGGAATCAAGTGGAATCAAGTGGAATCAAGTGAAATCAAGTGAAATCAAGTGAAATCAAGTGAAATCAAGTTTATTACTGTATGTGGATGTAGCATAGTTGAGTAGGGAAGGAAGGATAAATGTATTCTACCGTATACCACTGTAGGTGGATGTAGTGTAGTTGAGTAGAGAAGGAAGGATAAATGTATTCTACCGTATACTACTGTATGTGGATGTAGTGTAGTTGAGTAGGGAAGGATAAATGTATTCTACCGTATACCACTGTATGTACATGTAGTATAGTTAAGTAGGGAAGGATAAATGTATTCTACCGTATACCACTGTAGGTGGATGTAGTGTAGTTGAGTAGAGAAGGAAGGCTAAATGTAATCTACCGTATACTACTGCATGTGGATGAAGTGTAGTTGAGTAGGGAAGGATAAATGTATTCTACCGTATACCATTGTAGGTGGATGTAGTGTAGTTGAGTAGGGAAGGATAAATGTATTCTACCGTATACTACTGTAGGTGGATGTAGTGTAGTTGAGTAGAGAAGGAAGGATAAATGTATTCTACCGTATACTATTGTATGTGGATGTAGTCCACTGTAGGTGGATGTAGTGTAGTTGAGTAGGGAAGGATAAATGTATTCTACCGTATACTACTGTATGTGGATGTAGTGAAGTTGAATAGAGAAGGAAGGATAAACATATTCTACCGTATACCACTGTAGGGGGATGCAGTGTAGTTGAGTAGAGAAGGAAGGATAAATGTATTCCACTGTATACTACTGTATGTGGATGTAGTGTAGTTGAGTAGGGAAGGATAAATGTATTCTACCGTATACCACTGTAGGTGGATGTAGTGTAGTTGAGTAGAGAAGGAAGGATAAATGTATTCTACCGTATACTATTGTCGGTGGATGTAGTGTAGTTGAGTAGAAAAGGATAAATGTATTCTACCGTATACCACTGTAGGGGGATGTAGTGTAGTTGAGTAGAGAAGGAAGGATAAATGTATTCTACCGTATACTACTGTATGTGGATGTAGTCCACTGTAGGTGGATGTAGTGTAGTTGAGTAGNGGACGGATACACACTGCTCCATCTCCTTCATATTCCCAATATTCAAGGACAGATTAGCAGCAGCAATCACAGCAGCCTTAATAAAAATAATAGCAATAACAAAACAATAACAATAACAATAACAATAACAGTAACAATAACCATAACTTTAATAACAATAATAACAATAACATAACAATAACAATAACAAAAACCATAACCATAACCATAACCATAACCATAACAAATAACAATAAAAATCATAATTATGACAATAATAATAATAATAATAATAGTAATAGTAATTAAAATAATGATAATAATAAGGATAATTTGAGGATGATAATAATAATAAAGATGATGACAATGAAGATAATATTAATTGTGATTACTTCCAATAAAAATAATAATCTTAACTCCTTACCTCCTTTATACCATTGTCTGTACTAGCGAGCAATGAAGGTAGCCGAACTAAAACTCCTGCTTCACGTAATGAATCCTAAATAATTTAATATGTAAAATGGAGAATCGATATTTTTAAGCTTCACAGTCCACACTGAATTGTCCATACAACTCTAAATCTATTTTATTTTTTAGAAATGTTAGGCTTAATTTAGAATTTAGATTCGAAAAACATTTTCAAAAATATTATCAATTAAATAAGGTCAAAAAATCAGCCTAAAACTTCTTTCAAACTTTATTATGTGTTTTAGATGAATTACATTTTTTCCTATACTAAACTGTATGGAAGATTCTGATTTTTTTTAATTACAAACTTTCATTAAAATTTTCATTGTCCACTTGATCTTTAAAAATAATTTTTAACATGGTTCTTAAATTTTCATTTTCCTCTTAATATTCGAATATCATTTTGAACGTTAATCTAAAAGTTTCATTTCCCATTAATATTCTAAATCACTTACAACATAATTATTTTTTCCAATTAATCTTGTAAAATCATTTTTAACATAACTCTTAAATTTTCATTTTCCCATTATCTTCGAAAATTACTTTCAACATAATTCTGAAATTTGTGTGTTCTGTTCTGTTGGGAATCCAACCTGGTTTCTGGTGAATGCTGCAGAGTTTGCTACCGTGGTCAGGGTCCTCTTAACCTTCTCCAGGTCGGAGCTGTGCAGCAGGGCCACCAAGCTCTAGTTAAAGGAGGAGATATTTTTACTTTTTCGAGAGAAATTTATTCAATTCAGAAATTTGCAATAAAAATCAATCGACCATCATTATGTGAAAATCTAGGCCAACCCCCCACCCCTCATAAAAAAAAAACAAAAAATGAAAACACAACTTTAAAAGTCTAAAATATGTCTGATTAACTTCTCTTTTTCTTCCCTTCTTTATTCTTAGTTTACTAATTAACTAATCAATTACTTAATTAAATTTTATTAATGATATTTATAACAAATTGGGATAAAGACCTGCATTTTCTAACAATTTTATTTAAAAATTTAAAATACAAAATATACGAAATATACGAAAAATAGTATTACTCCAAGAAGAGTATTTTACTAATCATCATCTAAGTTTAGCTTTCCGAAGTTTTTCTCTTAAACTTTTAAGAAAAAAATACAACTGCTGCAAATTTACTCATTAAAACTTTCAGAAATCCAACAGACAAGAAAACTTGCAAAATTATTAAAATGTTCCAGATACAGTATAACCCCCCCCCCAAAAAAAAAATCAACATTATACTATGTTAAAATATCCAATGAAAATCAGCAACTGCGCAGTGTGCATTGAAAATTCACATTTCACTTAAGAAAATGTTTTTAAACTAATGGTAAAAAGTGCCTTACAACTAGGGATTGGCATCGGTCTTAGGCACGTTAACAAAATTCAGTGTTAATTGGCATAAGAGGTGAGCCAAAAGAATTTGAGATGGTTATCACTGAGAAAAATTCTATTTTTTTTAAAGTTTGTTTAATCACAATAAGCAGATTTTAAAAATCTTTACCAATCGTTCGAAAAGAAAATTTGGTTGAAATCTTTGGCCATATTCAAAGTTTTGCATAATGTCTTAGAAGCAAAATTTTAAATCACACAAGTTTAAAACAGGATTTAAATCCCAGATCTTTGTGAATCCCGTTTAAAAGTCAATAACCTAGAAAGCTTAAAAGTCAATAACCTAGAAAGTTTTAAAGTTTGAAAAAATGCTTCCAATAAGAATAATAAAATAAACGTAGTTAAACCAACCGTGCCTATTTAAACTGGATAACTGCATGTATTTTCCTCATAAACTCCAAAATCAACGAAGAACTTTTAAAAATATCTTCTTTCCTTGCATTCGTATGGAGTTAGTTCTCTACTTCTTCCACTCTGCAAACTCTCCAGTCTTCTAAATAAATAAATATTTCTTATACTTTAGTCTTAACTCTCCAGTCTTCTGAACTAATAAATATTTCTTATATTTTAGTCTAAAAAACAAGAATAGATTTAAATAACCCCCGCCCCCCTCCCGGGAAAAATTCCTATATACGGCCCTGAACATTAACAAAATTCCATGTAAATTAAGTGTATCTAAGCTGTCTGTACAGTGTACAGTGACTAGTCACTATACATTGCCTGTACACTATTATGTACACTGTCTTAACAATGTATGTACAGTTGTGGATACATTTACCTTGTCAGTTCAGATTCCCTTCCCTGGAGTAAACTCTCTGCTCTGGCATCCGCCTCCTCCTACAATACATGGCTCAGTAACATTATGCCTGGTTCGCGAATGATTATTTAGTGAATGCCATTTATGCCTACATTTCTGAATGCCTAGCTAACAATAAAGGTCAGGCTTTATCAACAGGTCAGCATATAGGTCAATCTCCAGGTCAATTCAAGGTCATTTTTCAGACCATTTTCAATTTTATTTTCAGATCATTTTCATAGTTGATTTAAGATCATTTTGAAGGTCATTTTTACGGCCATTTTCGCGGTCGTTTCCAGATAATTTTCAAGGTCATTTTCAAGGTAAATTCAAGATTATTTTCCAGATCATGTCCAAGGCCATTTTCACGGTCATTTACCAGATAAGAAATTTCTTTTCAATAGTTACTAAGATATATGTATAAAATAACAAACAGAATACAAAGTGTTTGATATACACTATACAGTATAGTCATCTTTAAAGTATATGTTTTGGTTGTGTGTTGGGGTTTCTGATTATTAATCAAAAATAACCGAAAAATCTGCAAGTATAATTAAATTACGCTTAAAAAATTAAAGTTTGAAAAGCAACATATAAAAGCTAAAATTGTTACTGAAAGTTGTATTAAAGAGAACCGACCTGCTGGGCCTCGGTGAGGCTGATTACACTGCTTGCGAGGCTGCGTCGGCTCAGATTTCTTCTCGAGGCTCGTCTACTTAGCCTAAATATATGAAAATATTTCAGGACTTTGACAAATACTCTTTCAAATATAAAGAAACAATTGCAGTTTTATATGGAGAAATTTTAGAAAAAGAAAGTGGAATGTTAAGTGCACAACCAAGAGCAAAGACTTGAAGACACTTGAAAGTTATCCCAGTCTGAATAGTAAAATCATAATTTTAATACAGTGCAACATAATTAATGTCCTTATCTTCTATTGTATATATATATGTATATATAGATAGTTGCAGTGTAGTTGAGTAGAGAAGGAAGGATAAATGTATTCTACCGTATACTACTGTAGGTGGATGTAGTGTAGTTGAGTAGGGAAGGAAGAAGGGGAAGGAAAAGGTGATGCCAGTCAGGAAGAACACAGATATTTGTTAAACACTCCAGCACTGATAGTTTTAGCTCAATATCATCATCACTAAAATATAAATATCATTATTATTGGATTTTGTAAAGGCTTTAAGGATACCGTTAAGAGGCATGCAACTCTTTCAAATGAGGGTCATGTCAAGAGTTCCTTTAAATGTTTTAGAAGTAAAAAAAAATATTATATATATATATATATATATATATACTTTGCTTTTCTGTCTGTCATTTTTTGTTTGTGCCCAATATACATCAAAACGGCTGAACCGATCGGCCCGACTTTTTGAAACTGACATGACTGAATGGAATTTTGAAAGTTGAAAATGTTGCTCAGAAAAATGTCAACATTTATTATTTTAAAAAATGCAACAGTTAAAACAGAAAAATAGAATTTTACAATTACGAAGAAAAAATGGCTATTTGAAGAGCAACATTTTAACGCTAAAATTGTTAAATGAAAAGGGGGTAAGACGCACACTAACAGCAAGTTTTTTTTTAAATCGAAAAATTTACCGATCAAAGAATAATCCATGCAAAAACGTTTTGTAGAACTGTTACAATTTCTACTTGTACAAACAGTTGGGTGTACTTTTAACTGACCTGGGAGTAGCCGGACAAGAGGGGTTATATTCTAGGAGTGGGAGTTGTTGTGCGTCCAGGGGGGAGAGAATCCTAGGAGGGGAGTGGAAGGGGGAGGAACCAAGGCTACGCGCCCCTATCACGGGTCTTTTACCTAAACACGAGAAGCTTTTAGTTTTTTACGAAAACCAGTTTAAAAAAGTATTTAGTCAATATGACTTATTACTTTTGGACATTTTAGAAAAAGAAACTATTTTAAATTATAAAATTATCTTTAAACCAAATGAAGCCAAACCCCTACGCAAAATCTTACGTAAATTTTAAATCAAATATGAAATCCTTTTTTTCATTATTCCCTTTTCTGAAGGTTTTTAGCATTTTTAACTTTGGAAAGATTAGAAAATAGTAAATAATCTTATTTACTGCAAGATTATCCTAAATACATATTTCTGGGGGAAAAGTAAAAAAGAAAAAGGAAATATAAATATAATTGTCAGAAAAATAGAGTAACTAACTTTCATAATAATCTGTTTTGCATACTTTGTAAAGAAATCATCTTTTTATGGATAGTTTCTTATGAAAAAAAGAAATTGAAAAAAACTTATGGTTTGTTTGGATTTAAAACCTATACTGGCAAAATTTTATGTGTGTTCTAATGACCCAAAGCAAGGTTTATAACCGTTATTTTTTCTAAAACTTAATATTCGCCCGTGAAAACAAGAAAATATAAAATCCAATATATTGTAATAGTGCAAGTGGTCAAATGTTTAGAAAAACTTACAGAAACATTAAAAGGCTTGGTTAATGTAAAAAGGTGCTCGAAGCACTCTGCTCTCATTGTCTCACTTTAATAAAAATAAAAACCTTGAAGAGCTAGGATTGTGTCCGCAAACGCTAAAGCACTCAGGTTCAGCTCTCGTATTCTTTCCCTGAATAAATAATTATATACATAAAAGTTCCGAGTCCGAATTTAATGAATTTGAGCCGCGTCTTAAATCCGCCAAAAACCGGTTTCAATTGAGTGCCGGCTTAAATCTTGAAACATTGAAAACAATTTTAAGTGGAACCAACCATATTTGAGCCGCGTGACAAATTTAAGCCGCGGCTCAAATTCTTTAAATTCAGGTTCTGATTCTGTGTCCACTGTACATTTATAATGTCATAAAGCAATTATTTTAAGTTCCATTTTGTTTTAAAGTGTAGTATTCCTTTTTGCTCCAGTTTTTATTTTTATTCAAGTTCCTTTTCTTGATTCTGTTCCTCATTGTAGTGAAGTGTTCGTTCAGTAGTTTGTGTTCTTGTGTTTGTTCCTTTACTAATTCTTGGTGTTTTTTCCTCTACTAGTTCTTGTGTTTGCTCCTCCATTAATTCTTGTGTTTGTTCCCCTATTGACTCCTGTGTTTTTTCCTCTACTAATTCTTGTGTTTATTCCTTTACTATTTCTTGTGTTTGTTCCTTTACTTATTCTTGTGTTTGTTCCTTTACTAATTCTTGTGTTTGTTCCTTTACTAATTCATGTGTTTTTTCCTTTACTAATTCTTATGTTTGTTGCTTTACTAATTCATGTGCTTGTTCCTTTACTAATTCTTATGTTTGTTGCTTTACTAATTCTTGTGTTTGTTGCTTTTCTAATTCTTGTGTTTGTTGCTTTACTAATTCTTGTATTTGTTCCTCTACTAATTCTTGTGTTTGTTGCTTTACTAATTCTTGTATTTGTTCCTCTACTAATTCTTGGGTTTGTTTCTCTACTAATTCTTATGTTAGTTCTCCAACAATTCTTATGTTAGTTCTCTACTAATTCTTATGTTTGTTTCTCTACTAATTCTTATGTTAGTTCTCTACTAATTCTTGTGTTTGTTCCTCCTATACGAACTCTTGAGTTCGTTTGTGTTTATTTCTTAACTAATTTTTATGTTTGTTCTACTAATTCTTATGTTTGTCCCTTTAGTAATGTTTATGTTTCTTTACTAATACTTATGTTTGTCCCGCTACTTATTCTTGTGTTTGTTACTCTATTAATTCTTGCTTTTGTTTCAAATCATGATTTCGTGTTTATATTGCCCTCCCCGTGTACCCAAAAAGAAGGGGGGGGGNTTGTAAATTTGCATTTTTTTAATGGAGAATTTTTAAAACATTCTTTTCAAATTACAATATCAAGCAAATAGATACATACTAGTAATAAATACATGTAGAATTTGCTTCTCATTTTAAAATTTTAAATATCAAATAAAATAAAGAGATTAATTAAACAACTATGGATGAAATTGGCCAATAAAGGGGCAGGGGGGGACAAAAGGATATGAATCCCCATGAATTGACCTGACAGAGAGGGGACGGAGAACACATGAAAGAGGAATACGTTGACCGCTCTCAGCTCTGTTTGACCCACACGCAGCGGAACCTAAAATAAACTTAATTTACTGCTTAAGCCTAAAACACTATACAGAAGAAGACGGTTAAATTTATAAGAAATTACTGGTCCGATTTTGAGAACTCGTAGCTCCTCTAGCTTCATTGTACGCACATGTATGAGAAAAGCAAATCTTTATGGTTGTTATTGTCTAAAAATTCAAAACATGTTTGTTCTTCTCAATAACTCTTCAATAAAGGAATATATGATCTGAGAGTGTAAAGAAGTTTCGATGGCGGACCGTCATAGGCTTTGTCTCCAACCTTCATCATAGATTGAAGATTATTATTATTATTATGATTGAAAACCTTTAAGATTCCAATCTCAAATAAAATTTACTTTAGTTTAACGTGAAAGAAGATTGTTTACGCATTTCAAAGTGAACCTGTATTAAAAATGTTTAATACCCAAATCACAACTGTCATCCTTAAACCTTTCAGACAACGGGAGAGTCCATGTTTTCTAGTAGAAAATAAATACCTTCAATCGGTGTTTTTTTTTTAGCAGCTGAGACAATAATGAAAATTGACATTTCAAGATAGAAATATCTTTCTAAATGTTACTCAAACAAAGGCTTTAAGGATACCGTTAAGAGGCATGCAACTCTTTCAAATGAGGGTCATGTCAAGAGTTCCTTTAAATGTTTTAGAAGTAAAAAAAAATATATTTCAGCAAATTAAACTGTTTGTGCCCAATATACATCAAAACGGCTGAACAATTGAACTAGTTTAAGTCCTAACTTGAGTTTAAAAGTCGTCTTCCTATTTTAGAGTTTTCTGGTTATCACTGTGTAAAGTCTAGAAAAGATAGGTATTGAGAGTATAGTTGTAGATGGTTGATAAAGTATGTAAACTTTATATCCCGGAAAAAGATAAGTGATTACTTTTTATGACACTGTTCATGGTTATGTACAGTTAGAGGTCAATAAAATATAATACAAGCTCAAAGTTGCACATTACATATTTGTAACATGTTCGTGTACTGTAAAAAAAAAAAGGCCCTTTAGAATATTTGGATTCACAAATGAACACTCAAAATATACGACATTTTTAAAACTTTTTATCAAACAAAATTTTAATTCTTACCAATAAAAAGGGCGCGAAGCGCTCTACAAGACCTTTTACAATATCAAATACTAGTTATAAAATTTATTTAGTTGCATAATTTTCCTTCATTAATAACGACTAAATCTTTTTGACGTTTAGAAAAAATAAAAACAAAGTAAAATATACAAAAAATTTGCTACAATTCTTAAAGGGAGTGACCGGCAATGTATGCTGGTTGAACTGAGGATGCAGTTTTGTAGAAAATCTTTTTTAGGATTCATTTGAGACGTATAAACAGTTTCCACGATGTACAACCATACATTGCAGGTCACTCCCTTTTACGTTATATATTTATCTTTTTAAACCAGTGAAAGTTTTAACCATTCCTCAAAATGAGAATGGGAAATAGTCCCTTTAAATATAAATAACGTTAAATCCGTACCCGACAATCGTCTGAGATAAACCTTCCCGTTTCTATTCTCATCCAACTCCAGTCCAAGCACATCATTTTCATTACGCAGAAATCCCGGACGGTCCAACTTCTTCCCAAATGTTTGACGCACAACTGCGTAACCAACGTACGCAAATCCTGCAAAAATGGCCGAGCAGAGCGCCACACGGCTGGTCGTCTTATCCTGGGCTACGCCAGCCATTTCTGGATTTGAATTGATTCACGGACGGATTTATATTCTCCGATGGTTGAATTGAATTGTGGAGGATAGAACGGAGGTCAGAGTAGGCCCATCCTCCAACCTTCAAGGTTGTAAATAAACTGGAGCAAACAGCCTCACAGCCTCAGATCATGAGACCTCGGACGATTAAACACGTTACGTCACGATTCCATAAAATCCCTTTAATTTGTCAGAAAACACCGGAAGTCCGGAAATTATAGCATTTCCATTCTTTCTGAAATAATGATATATTTAAAAAAAATGATTTACAAACAATTTAATACGTTGTTTATTGAAAGAAATAACAAAACTAAATTAATAACAAGTTGAACTGTAGTTACAACTTCAGTACAAACAATTTAAAATATTTTTAATTCAAGCAGTTTAACCAAAATTATCATTATGTTACCAGTTTTGTAAGTCTTTTCTAACTTATTTAAAGAATAATGTGCTGGTGATTTATCTTTATCTATTATCTGTATGTTGTCAAACTAGAAGAATGCACTTGGAGCTGTTTAAGCACTACACAATGTATTAAAGTAATGTACAGTGTACTGCTTTCTAAAGTACACTTTTTTGTACTAAATACAGAGCTGTACTGTATTTTACACTGTGCTGCGCTGTACAGTCTACTGTGGTTTACAATTTACTGTACTTCACAACACTGTAATGTACTGTGATGTACTGTAATGTACTGTACTGTAATTTTACTATGCTGTTATGAACTGTTAAGTGTATTGTACTACTAACTGTATATTACTGTTAACTATCCTGTACTGCTAACTGTCATGTACTATTAACTGTCCTGTACTATTGACTGTCCTGTACTATTGACTGTCCTGTACTATTGACTGTCCGGTACTATTTACTGTCCGGTACTATTTACTGTTATGTACTATTAACTGTCCTGCACTGTTAACTGTTATGTACTATTGACTGTTATGGACTATTGACTGTTATGTACTATTGACTGTCCTGTACTGTTAACTGTCCCGTACTATTAACTGTCCTGAACTGTTAACTGAAACTGAAACTATACTGAACTGTACTGTTTAATGATCTGTGCATTACAGAAATGTACTTTTAAGTGTACTGTACACTAAATAACTAAATCTGTACAATGTGTACTACTGTAAAGAACTAAACAGTATTATAATGTAGTACACTGTTTTGTTTACTGTAGGTACTTTACTGTACACTATAATGTACATTTTACATGCATATCATTTTATAAAGAATTCTTTAGTGACAATAAATTTCTTAGACATCTAATACTTTGATTTTATTTACTTTTGATAGATTTCCGAGCTTTGTTTTTAATAAAACGATGATTAATAGCAAAAAAACTTAATCGACGAATTTTAAGAGAAAACACCAAGACAACAGTGAACAAAATAATTTTCTCCCTAATAAGAGACTGTAAGCGTATTCTTAAGTTATCCCCTATGCAGAGATGACAATGCACGCTTTATTATCATTATTATCATTTGTGGTTTTTCTGCAGAAGTGACTTGAGAATTTCTAATACAGGAAAACATAATAATTATACACTATTCCAAGTTATCCTCCGCATTGAGGATTAGATAAAGGGTTTAAGGGTACCGTTGTGAATCAGACATTGTCATTTTTGCATCGAGGATCACTTAAAATTACACGTCGTACGGTCCCTTTAAGTCTTTCAACTGAAATGAGAATAAGAACCCATAGAAAGAGTATAAACTTTGTCAGAATGAAACAATAGAAGAGTTTTGCGATAATGAAATTTGAAAGCAGAGAAGAGAGAATGAGCATTAACTAGGTTAGAATACATTTCATTTTGATCCGGATTCTTAATCCATACTGTAAAAAATTGGATTCCGGATTCGGATCGATCCAACTGAGCACGAACATCTTTCTTCACATTAGACATATTTCTTCTATACAAGAACACGCTGGGCATTTATAAAATTTCTTCTTAGTATAATTTAAAAGTTAAAACCCCAAATTTTGTAAAATAGTCAGTTATTCAATTTTAAGAATAAAATAACTCCAACCTACAAAATCTTTGGATTGAGTAAAAAAAAAGACTAATTTAGAGATGGGTTAAGATAGAAAAAGCAAAGCCATTTAGAAGTCAGAATTTTGTGTTATGAATCTTGGGATCAAGCATTGATCTCCAATGTCCGTCCATCCTAAACATTTATTTCTTTTGTAGTCATGCAGGGATAATTTTAATTGAGAGATCAAGCATTCATCCTCAAGTGTCCACATTGGATATCAAGATTAAGCGTTCAAGTTCCAACCTCTGATAACATTAGAAAAATCTTTAAAGTTGAAAATAAAAAAGTTGATTAGTGCTTAGGACAAAGGCGCACTGGCATAAACAAGGGGAGGCACTGCCCCATAATAAATCCTGTATACGCCCTTGTAAGATAAACTAAGTAGACTAGTACAATAAAAATATTTCAAATCTATACACTGAAAATGAAAATTAACTATTAATAACGATAAATGTTACAGGAACGCAGCTAAGAAAGTTTGATGATTGGAAAGGAAGGATGGAGAGAGAAGTCAAAAGTAAGAGTTCTGTTTTGAGAATCCTTGGCTAGAACTGAGGAAACAATAAGGTTTGTTTTACAAACAGTAATCAGGTTCTTTGTATCAGTATCACCATCACACGCCTGAAATAGAATCAATCAATAAACTAGGGTTTTAGGAGCGGCCTACTACCCAACTATCAAACTCAAGATGAATATATAATAAATCTAGATAGAGATATGAACTTACAGCTATGTGATAGGTGTCTTAGGATAAAAAGAAACATCTTTTGTCAGTTCTACTTTGCTTCCAATATTTTTTAATGTGGATTTCTAATGCTATTTTCCATTGAGCTTGTAATATTGTTCAATAAAAGAATAACTAAAGATTTGGTGATAAATGTTTCTTTCTTTCTAACACTGGTTGATATTGGAACTACCTACCACTGGTTCATATTTGAACTTTCTACCACTGGTTCATATTGGAACTACCTACCAGTACCACTGGTTCATATTTGAACTTTCTACCACAGGTTCATATTAGAACTACCTACCACTGGTTCATATTTGAACTTTCTATCACTGGTTGATATTGAAACTACCTACCAATGGATTATATTTGAACTTTCTACCACTGGTTCATATTCGAACTACCTACCACTGGTTCATATTTGAACTTTCTACCACTGGTTCATATTGGAACTTTCTACCACACTGGTTCATATTTGAACTACCTATTGAACTTTCTACCACTGGTTCATATTTGAACTTTCTACCACTGGTTCATATTGGAACTTTCTACCACACTGGTTCATATTTGAACTTTCTACCACTGGTTCATATTCGAACTACCTACCACTGGTTATTCATATTTGAGCTACCTTTATATTAGAATAACCGATTCCAATCCTTCCTCTCTTTCAACTTCGAAAGCTCAAATTCATTATATTCAGTCCGTGAGGATCTAGTTACATTATAAACAGTAACAAAAATTAGAAAGATATCCTTGTTTTTCTTTTGACAATTGGATCATTTTCATTTAAGGGTTTTTTTTGCAGGCGATACAATGAAGAAAGACAGACTAAATCACTTTTCAGAAAAACGATAATCATCCTTGTTGTTAACCAAATAAAGGTTTTTATCGTTGTAATTTTGATAATGTAATCCCCTTAAATTAAGTACACAGTCCCTTTATTAAACTGCCCACCTGCTGAACGGATTCTAGAACTTGTCTGGCCTGGGCAAAATCTCTGGATGCAATTAAATATAAATCTTTAGCATTGATCTCTTCTGTTAATCCGAGTACATCCTAAAAGCGGCAATATTCAATTAGACATTTTAAATTTAGAATTTTGAAGAAAAAAACCTATTTTTTAGCCTCTAGCCAACGATTTTCCTAAAACAATGTTTGCCAATTTGGTCAAGCTGTTTGGCCAGCTATAGCTAACATATTAATATATATTATATATATGAGCGCAGAGCTTTATTACATAATTTGCACTTTTTCATTCATGCGCATTTAGCTCTCAGGGCGCTTCGCGCTCATCTTCTATTTCAACTTTTTATTGCGGCTCTATCTGTGAGCATCATTTCTCTTTACAATATAAAACAAAAACTAACAAAGTCCGCGGATAAACTTATATCTGTTTGCGCATTTTCAAAATTTTACAAAAATCAAACACTTTTGGACACACAATTTTGTAATTTTGAGTATTTATAACACTTCCCTGGGGTCACAAAATTTGGGCCCCATCAGTTCAGCCGTTTCGACATTTTTTGGATATAAACAAACACACAGACAGATAGACAAGCAAAGTATATATATATAGAATACAAATTTTAGTGCTTAGGATCCATTTCATTACGGAGACGAATAAAAAATGGATCCGGATTCAGGTCTGACATTTCTTTAAGGTTTACTCATTTTTGAACGTGTTCCGACAAATAAATCATAATAATAATAATAATAATAATACGCTTTTTAATCTAAAAACTTGATGAATCATTTTTTTACAGATTTCGGTTGATATTTTGCCCCTTGGATCCGGATCCAGGAAGCCAAAATGCTGCGGATCCTGAGCATTGCATTATAGAAATATTTAGCATGCATTATGTAATGTCTAAATCAAATCATAGAAATTGAATTCTAATTTACCAATTGCAGTTTCATATATTTGTTAATTGTTGTGTGGGAAAGCAAAGCATAAACAATCTTGGACTATAACTTAAAATCTGAGCTCTGTTTCTTAAATTATCCAACAATTTAAACCCCTATGCGTCACATTAAACTCGTGTAAATTGGAATCTGAGCTGAACCGACCTTTACGGTCCTAGTTTGTACTGCACCGCCCGGTACACCAACTGCAGTGGCAGACATACGGCAGGGGTCAATAGAGTCGTCCTTGCTCTTTAGACGCCTGTGCAACTAGGTTGACGCGACAATCACTAAAGCGGTAATGTACCTTATATTGTGAGTAGGGGGCCAATGGCGGAGTGAGCAGACCTCCAAAAGCAGCAAACCTACAATTTAAAATTTGATAGTTTTAAAATGTTTTCATTTTTATTTTTATTCGAAGTTAAAACCATTGAAATCCCTTAAAATTGTAGAAACTTTTCTTATAAATATATCACTATTGAATATAACTCCTGAAAATAATGCAGAAAAACCACAAAATCACCGTTAAAGTTGGAAAATTTAGGGTTGAGGGTATCTATAAATATAAAGTAGTAATCTTGTTAGCTTGGTTTTAAAGTTATTAGTTGAAAATGGAATAAGTTGACTCTAAAAAAGAAAAATTTGTTTCCAGGCAAAGCAAGGTTCCCAAGCTAGTATTACTTTAATTGCTTACGTTTTTTGACACATATTGGTTAAATTAAAATTAATAATATTTCATCATTTATCTACCTATGATCGTATCTAACCGCTTCATTATCAAAATCTGGACTAGGGGACAATATTTTTCCTTCCTTCTTAGCAGCAACTAGAAGTTTAAACATACCCCCACACACCAGAGAGTTAGCCTAGATAAAATAAATATTACTTTTTATGAATATTGCGGATTTTCTTTTTTTTGTGCTTTTATGACATTTAAGAACAAAATACTGAAGGAAAATTGGTATTAAATAATGTTCTTAAATTTAAACTCAGATTTAGGTAAAATATTAAAATTAAGATTTGTTTTAAGAACAAAAAAAATTCGCTAAAAAACCAGGAATCAAAATATAACAAACTCTAAAATTGTATAAAATATGATTTAAGCGCAGCGGAAAATTTTTTGAGGAACTATTTTCGCTGAATTTTGAAAAGTAAATGATTTTAAATCGGAAATAAAGAATTTTAGGGGAAAGTGTAAACAAGTATGGAAAAACTTCCATTTTAATGTCCAAAGTTCATCAAAATTCATTGTATTTCTTAAAATTATACAAAACTAAAAAATAAATAAAAAATATTTATTTAATAATAAACTGTTTTCTAACCTGGTATCCTGCTATTTCTAAAGAATACGGTCTACTCCTTACATTCTTCTTTCCTCCAACCTTGTTCTTCTTCTTCCCCTTCTTCTTGTTCTCCTGGGCTGCTATATGCTCGGATATTGTCGTGTCCGCCCTGGATAGAAGAAGGAAGGTTAAGATTAAGGTTAAGATTAAGATTAGGAATAAGATTAAGGTTTAAATTAAAAATTGGCAAAATACATAGTGCAAGTAACCAGAGTCCGACTTTAATGAATTTGAGCCGCATATCAAATCCGACAAAAAACAGTTNCAATACAAACCCAGATACAACATACCTACAATACAAACCCAGATACAACATACCTACAATACAAACCCAGATACAACATACCTACAATACAAACCCAGATACAACATACCTACAATACAAACCCAGATACAACATACCTACAATACAAACCCAGATACAACATACCTACAATACAAACCCAGATACAACATATCAACAATACAAACCCAGATACAACATATCTTTAATACAAACCCAGATGCAACATATCTTTAATTCAAACCTCAAATAAACATATTTCCTTCAAACATTCCGGATTTTCAGCCCTATCTTAATCTTAATTATTCTCAGTGTCAAAAGCCCTTTCATATAATTTGCATCTTTCAAAAAAAAACTCTAAAAATGAAACATTTTTGATACCAACTTCCATGAATAGTATCCCAAACCTCCATGAGAAAAATTCTTACCTAATCATTAATCTAAGAACATGATAGATAAGCCAGGTACTCAGGTACAGTGCATGGGGTTCTCCAGTCCCACCTTCAGCCTGTACAATATATTATTCAATAGATCGTTCAGTACAGTGTGCAATAGATCGTTTAGTACAGTGTTATAAGGTTTTCAGTACAGTATTAAATAGATGGTTCAATACAGAGTTCAATAGAGTTTTCAGTACAGTGTCAAATAGATTGTTCAGCACAGTGTTCAAGAGAGTTTTCAGTACAGTGTCAAATAGATTGTTCAGCACAGTGTTTAAAAGATTGTTTAGCACATTATTTAATATATAGTTCAATAGATTTAACAAAACACGCACTGTACATTGTAAAATATTAAATATGAAGTATACACTATACACTTCACAGAGTACAGTATAATCTTGAAAAGGAAGTATTGAATATTTTTAACTATATGTGTACATAGTACAGTAATCTGTACATGTTACAGTAAATTTTACTTCTCACTTACTGGCTTATATCACCAGTATCGGGCAATGAGGCCAGTACATTGAACAATATTAACTATTTACACTGATATTGACCTATTAATTATCTGGAGTACGCAAGACATTGTTCAGTACTATCTGGTGTACACTGTACTAAGTTATGAACTATCTGGTGTGAAATGTCTAGTAGTTGACCACATGTGCGTAGTTTACCATCCCTGTATCAAACTTTACTAGAAACATTAGATAAATATTTGAACCGAATGTAGGTAGTTTAGCGACAAAGCTAAACTTTATTAAATTATATCTATACCTGTAAGGAGAGTGTATTGAGCATACCGTCTATCTTATCCGCTTCCTCCTGTATCAGAATTTTACCAAGTCATAAAAAAGTTATTTATTGGAGGTGGNGGCAGGACCGAATGGTTTGATAGTTAAAGTTTAACTTAAAAATAATAAAGGAAAACTTCCTATTTCAGGTTTTAATGATTGGATTGAATTCCCTGAACAGTGAAGAATTCATCTAGGATACACTGCAGCTTCTCTCTTTGTCTAAAAAAATTTAATTTTATCTTAAAAATAAAGTCAAGATATTAAGAACTATATACAGACATAATGTCGTCGTCATTAAAGGCTCATACTGTGTATGTAAAGAATAACGGTTTCATCAAAATTCATTGTATTTCTTATAATTATACAAAACTAAAAAATAAATAAAAAATATTTATTTAATAATAAACTGTTTTCTAACCTGGTATCCTGCTATTTCTAAAGAATACGGTCTACTCCTTACATTCTTCTTTCCTCCAACCTTGTTCTTCTTCTTCCCCTTCTTCTTGTTCTCCTGGGCTGCTATATGCTCGGATATTGTCGTGTCCGCCCTGGATAGAAGAAGGAAGGTTAAGATTAAGGTTAAGATTAAGATTAGGAATAAGATTAAGGTTTAAATTAAAAATTGGCAAAATACATAGTGCAAGTAACCAGAGTCCGACTTTAATGAATTTGAGCCGCATATCAAATCCGACAAAAACCAGTTTCGATTGAATACAATTGAAAAATTGAATACAATTTTAAGTAGAACCAACAATATTTGAGTCGCGTCTCAAATTTAAGCCGCGGCTCAAATTCTTTAAATTCGGCTTTAAATCAGTGAAATCTAGCTAGATCAATTTACATTTTTATTGCTTCTAATATTTTTGCTTTAGAAAGGAGAGACGACACAAAAAGTTGGAAACCGGATCCTGGGAATTGTTTATCTTATTTAATCTTTTCATGGAAAAAAAAGGTTGTCCTTTGTCAGAGCAAATGATGAAAAAATTATTTTTTTCTATCAGTAAATTGATGATTTCCAATTGTAGTTTTTCTATAAAATAAAAATAATCATCCCACCCCTCCCTCTCACAATATTCCCTGACCTGGAGTGTATGTAGCGGGCTGGCTGGTTGCCCGGGTGCGCAGGGTGGCGGAGGTAACAGTGCAGCAGGAGCCAGAAATCCCTTACACGATTCTTGTAAAATATCCTGCAATAAAAAGTTAACATCAGTAACGATATATTATGGCACAAGTATCTTCTGAACATTTCTTGTTAAATTTTCAAACTTTATTCCCAATTGTTTAAATTCTAAAACTTGAGTAAACAATAAGGGACTAGTAGAGTTAATAGATCTCGCATTAATAACAATGTGTTTTTTTCCAGAATGAACCATTTTTGGTATCTTATGAAGAAATTTTGCCCCTCGGGTCGGAATCAAGGGAGGTAAGTGTAAAATCAATCATAAAACAAAAAATTTTAAGTTTTTGATTAAACCAACCTGTAAAACCGGATGGTTCCGAGGAGTTGACGGATTAGGAGAGGACGGATACGATTGGTTTAATCCTAGAGGTGAGTAGAGGATCTGGAGTAAACTCCGGCTTAGTAGACAGGGGGATCTACAGCCAGGGGTATATATATTCTTGAAACCCCCTCCCCATCCTCCAAAACCATTTCTTTTCCCCAGTATATAAAAAATGTTTCTGGATTTTTCTTTTAAAATACAGGAAAATTCCCCCCCCCCTTCTTTAAAATATATACCCCTACCTAGAGCTAAACTCCTGGAAAAAGTTGAGCAAGGAGTGGAACCCCTGGATCGAGTTCACCCCGCACACCAACAACACATTGTTCGTCAGATCCTGGTAATATTTCACAGCCGTAGATCTATCACGGGTCTTAGTGAACCGAGGGAAGGTTGGGGGGAGCAGACGCTGGTTAGCTCCAGGGTCAAATCCCAGCATATTCTGACCAGCGGCAGGGCAGGTCCCTAGGGAGACTGTACTGAGGATAGAGGTTAGCTGGTCACGTGATCCACTTATTAGACGATAGCCTTCCGTTACTTCACCTCTAAAAAAGATTTATTTATTTGCTAAATTAATTTGTCATAACTATGAACTTGATCAACTTATTTTGCAAGAGAAGTACATCTGTGTCACTGTTTATGAACCTTTAGCCCCAACCTATCAGCTTAATTGTACTTACTTTTCCAGGGAAGTAAGACCTAGGTAGAATAATCGTAGAAATTTTAACCGACTAGCGATACATGTATACATTGCTCCAACATTCTCATCCTTAAACAGTATATTTTAATATTAGAACAATTTAGTTTTTTCACAAAAAAAAAGAAAACATATTCTTCAAATGTATCTCAATAGTAAAAAGTGTTTGTATATCTTAATTATTTGAACGTTGTAGGTTAAAACCCAAAGTTAGTAATTTTATGTTGTGTGTTTGTCCAATCATAACTCATGAACCCCTAGAGCAAACACAAAATAATCCACCCTCTCCATTTTCCTAGGAATTTTAAATTTCATAACAAAACAAAAACATTTATATCTAGTTCATACTTGATCAAACAAAGCTTTTAAAGGTACCAGGCTTGAATCAGGCATCTTAGCATGAAGGCTTAATTAAAACCTTGTTTAAAGTTGATAAATTGAAGGATATAATTAATTCCCGGGAATATAAAGGGAAATCTACCAAGAGATAATCAAAAAGAGATTTAAGACCAGGCAACCAGGCAACCGATTGAGCGTGTTATGAACAGTAAAACATTTTTATCTTTAACAAAAACAATTCTTACCTTTCCTTTGTTGGCTCTGGCTTTCTTAGAATTCTCTTCCTCCGCATCTTTCAAGAGCTGAGGGAGGTTCACTATCCCATTGTATAACCTTAAACAGAAGTGTTACTTTTACAGAGAAAATATTACAACTACAGTTGGAACCAGAAAACTATGGAATAGTAAGACGACTTTTAGATTCAACTCAAGTTATAACTTTATATAGTCTGAGCTGAAACTTTAGAATGGTGGATATCAAGATTAATGCTTGATCTTCTCTTTTTCTAAATCTCCAGATTAAATAATGTTTGTTATCCTCGTGTTATTAATCTCCAGATTAATTAACCGATCGGGATTAAGGATATTTCATTCTAAAGTTTTCAGCTCTGGAATCAACGTAAGACACAGCAATTATAAGTCGCAAGTTAAACTATTAGCTTTGTAACAACATCACTTAAATTTAATTGTTGTCTAAATGTCGTCTTTTTATTCCAAAGTTTTCTGGTTCTCAAAAAGGAAGAATTTTTTTTAAAACAAACTTCTAAGATATTTCTGATTGCAAAAACCTTAGAAAATGTTTATGCCCTGTAGAAATATTAACTTGGTGGAAAAAAATGTCAAGTGCGGGTCCGAATTGATCAAAATAATAAGACGTTTTAATGAAGTTAAGATAGATGGGAAATAGATAAAAAAAATAAAAGATGGAAAAAAAGTTTAAAATTTTTCTGATGACAGTTTAGACTGTGGTGTGTAATTAATTTCCGGTCGGGTTCACCCTGGATAACAAAAACATATTTTTCCTAAAAGAATAAAAAAAATTGGCTGAAAATTCAACAACAAAAAAGCAGAACAATTTTTTCATACGGCAGGAGAGAGCGACGTGTCTGATTCACAACAGTGCCAGTAGAACCTCTATCCTGAGTAGCAGTGAGATAGAAATCGTCGTTTTTCGTAAAAATAATCAATATTTAGTAAATTAAATATCCCTTCAGTATGAAGAGTTTACAGGTTTGAAACTACAATTTGTACTAATGAATGTACTGTAAACTTTGTACATACCTGCCCAGGTTGATGTGTGTACAGGTTTATAAATATAGTTTGTACTAATGTATGTAGTATGTACATACCTGCTCAGGTTCATGTGTGTACAGGTTTGTAAATACAGTTTGTACTAATGTATGTATACACCTGCTCAGGTTCATGTGTGAACAGGTTTATAAATACAGTTTGTACTAATGTATGTACTATGTACATACCTGCTCAGGTTCATGTGTGTACAGGTTTGTAAATACAGTTTGTACTAATGAATGCCCCTCTAACCAAGCAACCAAGGAGGACAAACTTTCATCTATAATTCCAATCAGGTCCTCAGGGCGCAAACTATAATAATTATTTGGTTTTTCATTTACTGTACAGTTAACATGGAATATAAATAAAAAAACCACAAAAACTCGACATTTTTCGGGATCCAGACATGCAGGAAAGGTTTATTAACAGTGAGAAATTTTAATTTATCACGAATTCAGAAAATATACAAATAAAAAAAATTAAAAACTGATCTTAAATAAATTTTTTTAATACTTGTAAGTAAAGGAATATCAGCTGTAATTATTGAAAAGNATGTAACCTACTTGTCTAACGGAAGATGGTTGGTAAGTGCAGCCTCCTGAAATGTTAGAGGAGGAATGTTTGAGCTCATTCCAGAATCCATTTTTGGATCCATCATCTCGATAGCAGACATCGCCTTAAATATATTTACTTATTTACAGTGCTTTGGAGCCTGGAGGATCCAATCTATTTATATGCGGCTCTAGATTCCTGCCACAAACATGATTGAGTCAAATAAACGCCTTGTCATCGTCAAGTTCCCTCCATATATTCTTGATGTTAAGCTTCAGGGAGTTGAGGTTTGTTATCTCCTTCTCATCCAACCTCTGCTTGATGTTAAGCTTCAGGTAGTTGAGGTCTGTGATCTCCTTCTCATCCAACCTCTGCTTGATGTTTAGCTTCAGGGAGTTGAGGTTTGTGATCTCCTTCTCATCCAACCTCTGCTTGATGTTAAGCTTCAGGTAGTTGAGGTTTGTGATCTCCTTCACATCCAACCTCTGCTTGATGTTAAGCTTTAGGTAGTTGAGGTTTGTGATCTCCTTCTCATCCAACCTCTGCTTGATGTTAAGCTTCAGGTAGTTGAGGTTTGTGATCTCCTTCACATCCAACCTCTGCTTGATGTTAAGCTTCAGGTAGTTGAGGTTTGTGATCTCCTTCTCATCCAACCTCTGCTTGATGTTAAGCTTCAGGTAGTTGAGGTTTGTGAACTCCTTCTCATCCAACCTCTCCTTGATGTTAAGCTTCAGGTAGTTGAGGTTTGTGATCTCCTTCTCATCCAACCTCTGCTTGATGTTAAGCTTCAGGTAGTTGAGGTTTGTGATCTCCTTCTCATCCAACCTCTGCTTGATGTTAAGCTTCAGGGAGTTGAGGTTTGTGATCTTCTTCTCATCCAACCTCTGCTTGATGTTAAGCTTCAGGTAGTTGAGGTTTGTGATCTCCTTCTCATCCTACCTCTCCTTGATGTTAAGCTTCAGGTAGTTGAGGTTTGTGATCTCCTTCTCATCCAACCTCTGCTTGATGTTAAGCTTCAGGGAGTTGAGGTCTGTGATCTCCATCATATCCAACCTCTGCTTGATGAATTTTAATTGCCCAAATGTTTTCTATTGACACATTAAGACTGGAACAAGGATTTGTGTAGAAAAAATGATTTAGTCAATCCCCAGGCACCTGGCAGCTCTCATCGCCAAGGGAGGAGAACAAGTATATGAAAGACTATCAAAACAAAGTTTAATCTTGATGAAACTTGAACCACAGTAGTAGATATATTTAACCTTATACCTATAAACTGTTTTAGTCATGTAAATATCGTGGTTCAGCTTTTATCAGAATGTATTTAAAAGTCATGAAAAATTTATGCTTACCCTTTATTTAAGTCACATTTAGCCTTGACTATATGGTTCAGAATTAAAAATTGAATTCCCTCTTGTATATAGACATAAAGCTTAATTCAAACATTTTTAATTAGTCTTAAAAGGAAAATAATTGAAATCTGTCTTTCAAAATGCAAGGGTTTATATATATATCAGAATTACACACATGGATTTTGATGAATTCTCATTCA